ATCTCGATGCTCTCGCGCGCGTAAATTATGAGGAGTTGAATAAAATTAAATTTTTGATCTTCAATGCTCACTCCAGTTTTATCCCTTGTTGTCATTGTGCACCTCTGCGTCTTATTCGTTCTTGTATTCGTCACATGACTTGCACTTATTCTGCAAACTATGCTCCTACGACAGCCTGCTGCGGCGCAGCGTGGCTGAGTCAAGCAGTCATAACTCCGGCGAATTCTGCATTCATAAGACCAGCCAAGCACTGGAACTACCCAGTTCGTCTCTCTGCGTTTCCCACAGGTGACAGTTAGGGGCGTTCTCGCCAGATCGTTACTCCCACCCAGGTCTGATTGACTGTTGCGTACCAGTGGTGGATCGCGCACGCAACGCCTTTGCTACTATTTCTCATCTACCCCTATCCTCGTGATGATCTGGTCCTGCCACTGTAGGTGACTCGCTATTTTCACTATCTTAGCCGCTAGTATTTGCCGCCGCACACTTATTCCCCTGATCTAAACGCGATCTTGTACCGCATCTCGAAATAGGTCTGCTTCCATTCCTCAGATATGATTTAGATGCATTTTCTGCTGGTGATCTTGTCACGGGTGTCACACTAGCAAGGACACGTAGACGTGTACAGCCGGTGACCGATCTCAGGGCATATTATTCGAAATTCTGGAATGCGTTTTCGGTTGGGAAGGATTACCTTAGTGGAGTTTTTGCCTTGATTATCTTCCGGCATAATCCCAAGATTTGGCAGATACCGGCCACATTCATTATAGGTTTGCGCAAATGGCTCAGTAATTTCTCGCTCAGATGAGTCCGAGTCGTGACTGTTTGGGTTTTATTTAATTTGCGTACTTTCACATTCCTCTTTTCTAACGATTTACCGTGGAATTCACATGAAATAAGAGGCAGGGACATCGAATATTCTACCAAAAATATCCTACTGTTTTCCATGGTAAGCACTGCAAATGAACCGATCTTGAATTTATGTGGGATTAAATTTTCATGTCTGATATGTTGTTACAACATTCCTCGTATTGAAGTTCTTCAGATAGTTGATCGACTGTTTCCGATAGTGTTGCAGTGGAATTTCAGATTAATTTCTTTGAAGTAGCGCAGCATGCTAAATAGAAATGGTAACTGTTTGAGAAGATGAATTCAAGTCTGGTTTTGGTTGAGAACGTGGCATCTTTCTAACAGAATATCTGTGTAATAGTATAGCCCAGATACATTTAACACAGCCAAATACACGAACTGGTCTCTAAATGAACAAAAAATACTTACTGAAAGTCCGTCCCGAAATAGAAGTATCTGTGTTATTAGCAACAATGACAAGTGAGACTGGAATGGCCATTTCTGGCTTATTAACCGTCGTCAACCGATCATACAGAATCCCGAGTTCGAGCCTCGGGTTTTCCACACATCGGGGACCTGACCCTAATCCTATTACCACGCAGCCTCTCACACAGTCTGCATTTCTTCCACGCATGATATAATTCCTCAGTCAAATTATTCTGAGTTTCCAATACCACAACAGAAACTTTTTTGCGTTTCCAGTCATAAGTATTGAAGTGCTCGCATTAACACCCGTCCGTCATTATTCGCACTAGTCGGCAGTGGGGATTTGGACCACCACCACCACCACCACCACCACCACCAC